CTGTCGCTATAGCCTCCTCCACAGCATCATCTTTCAGCAGTTAATGCTTCATCTCCTTAATTATAGATATAAAGTTTCGATGACCCGGGGCAGGGGTAACCGCGCGCATCTGCATCGACAGGAGGGACACATGTGATGGTCATTATTTTCGACATGGATCGGCGATCAGCATGGAACATAAAGGCAGGAAAGAACGCACAAAACACAGTAGTTTCTTAGGGCGCAATTTCAAGGTCATCATCTTCCCAGGTTTCCGGACCGCGATTCGCTAAACATCAAAAGACAAGACGACACTCAGCCGTCTCTGAAAGCATTGTTCTTTAGAGCAGGTCAGAACTGAGAAGGTAATCGTCAAAGTTACGCCGGTGCCCGGCCTCGTTATAATTGGCTTTTCGACGGCGCCGCTTAAACATTTTTCATCCTCGCCATTTCTGATGCTTGTGACCTGACCCGGCCGTCGAATTTCTGAGACACGATAAGCAATCAGGTTTCAAAAATTTATAGCCAAGAGTCTAATATAACTGACATAAAAAATATTCTCATAAAACCCCAGAGATCGAGGTATAACCTGCCTTTGCAAAATGTGCAGGTTAGAAAAGCTTCTTCGACATGAAGCCCGTACAGATCGATCACTAAGCGTTAGAAGCATAGAAAAGATTAGGAGAAGCAAATTTTCTCACGATGAAGAACATCGTATTTGTCATAGCATTCAAAGATATCCGAAATAGACATCAATTATCAAAGATAGAGTTTTTTTGTTTGTCCGCTGGTGGCTACATTAAGATTACAGTTTAAATATCGTTGAGCCGGTAAATCATTTTCGACTATTAATTATTTTCTAAAATTAAACAGCACAGTTTTCATGCTGCTTTAAAATGAAATACCTTTATAATCGCCTGTTATTCGAATTTTTACGAAACGAAATGTCCTCTACAAAAGCTGCACCTCATTACCATACAACATCAATGTATTTCTACCATTGGTTTGATTTGTATAGGATGTTTAATCGACTTACTCTCCATCTTCAGATGACTGCCCTGATACTGTGCTCACTTGGTCGAAACTTCAATAAGTTTCCTGCATATTACAGATCTTACTTTAACCTCATGATGTATGTTCTATGCATAGCTTCTTGACCTTTTATAATTGAAGAAATCCTGTTCGAACTCCAGTGGCATAAAATTCGTATTTAAAAAGAGAAAAAAATTCTTTTAACCGTCAAGTGCCCCTGAGCGAGGAAGTTACGCCACTTTGATTTGGTGTAGCCAATTGAGAAATGGGTGGCGAGTTGTTGAGTCGCTACAACACGACGGAATCGTATTTTGGCGTGGTCATATAAAAATGAACAAGAAACATAGCGATGCTGTCTGATGCGAGCATCCATTCGATGTGCCATTCGCTCTGACCCACCTGATAGCTGAATACAAAGTGTGATAATCAGAAAATTGTGCCAACTAAACCCCATTGGTTTTGTTATACTTCAGCCTCACTTTAAGAACAGCTGCAACCAGTTGGTCATACCATCCAATGAACTCAGTGCCTCAGTTATGGTTTGCGCTCAGAAGTATCTGGTAGTAGCCCTCTACCTGTTGTGCATGTGGAAGATGATTTTGGAGTTGGATTATGTTTTGCCGTGCAATGCATATGGCGTCATACCTGGGACCACAATATCTGTAAAGAGTTTACGATTGACATTATTTGGTTGGCTTTTAGAACCATGGGGACAATGTTCTATGGCCACATAAATCTAGAAAATATTTGCTGGTAAAATCACTTTGAAGTTTTTCAAGATCGACATTGTTCCATTTGCATTTCGACGTTTGGATCATATGACTCTTCTACAGCAATCCTAATAAGTGCAATATTGCGTCTTTTGATCATAGTAATCTGGGGAGCTTCGTTGCTTAGTTTTCTCAATGCATTAGATAATTGCGAATTGCACCTGGCACAGTAAATAATCAAATACCATGGAGCCGTGACCTGTTTAAAAGTCTTCCAAGGTAACCAGGAACAAGGGGCTGGTTCAACACCCCTTGAAATCTGGTTCTTGCAAGTTTTGCGTCATTTGCTTTAAAGGATTCAAATAATAACAGACTGCTTACACGTGAGACAAGATTCACAACTTTCCCTGAGAGTAAACATAACCCTAGTAATTTATGATTTATGACTCCCAAAGGACTTCGGCAACAGAAGAAAAATTTTTCTCTCAGCAACGAACAACGTTAATAGGACTTTCGAGCTCCTTATCGAGAATGCTTTCACTCAAGCGACAGTATTATGATTTTATTGCAATTTGGTTATCAGATATTTTTCTGGTTATTGATGCATCATCGAGTCGACACTTCTACGACATTCTCCATTTTCCGTTTCCTGCCTCCACCATGATTAAACAATCGAACAATCGGTTCATCCAGACGTATTCGTGATTGACCCCTCGACATCGTGAACTTATACCAACGTCTGCCCAAATTTCATCCAGCCGAACTGTTTTAGAGAAGGGGAGCACTTGCCAGACTATTACAATGAAAAGAAGGAAATATCTTAAGTAGTAAAGTATTTTGTTTAGGCTGTACCTGCCAGCAGGGTCTACCCGGACCTGCAGGCATGCCAGGAAAAAATGGACAAGATGGTTCGGATGGAAGGGACGGCTTCAATGGTCGCCCAGGAGCAACAGCACCGCCAGACTTTTGGAAAAAAATGAATGTATACAAAACATGCACCACTTGTCCACCTGCGCCTCGAGGTCCCAGGGGACCACGAGGCCGTAAAGGATTTCAAGGACCAAAAGGAAGTGCAGGAATTCCCGGTAAATCCTATGGCAATGCCTATATCACGAGTATTGCAGGAGAAGTAGGACGTCGGGGGCCACAGGGGCCGATTGGTGAGCCTGGTAGAAAGGGGCCTCCTGGCGATCCGGGAATTATAATCGAAGTAATTGGACCTGCAGGAGTCCCTGGCCGACAAGGTAGACCTGGTCCTCCGGGAAGAGTTGGTCCGAAAGGGCGGCGAGGAAGACCCGGGGCAAGAGGACCAAAGGGAATGAAGGGAAATCGCGGTACTTGGGGTAGGCAAGGGAAACGTGGCTTCGTTGGGCCCCCGGGCATACCAGGTATTCCTGGCATACCTGGTAGCTGCATGCATTGCCCTATTCCACGAACCGTGTCAGGTTATTGAGCAAGACCATGACGAAGCTTAGTTAATTGTGATAAATTTGCCTATTGCCATTTGCTCGACGGCACAGTGAATTACTGTTAAAATCATGTTTGCGTACACCGTGCACCAAGTTTCGAAACTTCGGTTGAAATAAAATAGTGTGTATTAAAGCAATATGTTACAAAACATCTAATTAATTTAATAATTCTCTTGTCAGAACTCAATATCTGATCAATGAAAGTATGAAATCACGAGAAATGACAAAGACTCAAACAATCGAAAGAATATGGAGATTCATCAATCGAAGATACCAGGGCTTCACTAGCTGAATGTGTCGAAATTCAAGGCAGGCCTGCACAAAGCTATTTCCCAATGGCGAGGAATTCAAGTCCTTCAAGCAGCTACAGGTTGACGATGACTCTCGAGACAGTGAGCAAGTAATGTCCGACATCCGAGACTGACAGAAAGCACTATATTCTTGAAGTAGGCGTATCACTTTGACACGTCTCAGTGTTCACCTTGACGTTTGCTCTGATCAGGAAAAAGTCAAATGAGTTTACTACCTGAATCAGCGAAAACGGATCGACAAAACAGCAGTCTTATACCACTGATCCAATGGTATAAGAATATAGCTATAACGCACAAGAATAATAATAACGAATGTCGAAGAGGAGAAGTTAATATAATAGACAGAAAGTTAATGCACATCTAAACGTATGCTTCAACGTGAAAGGATCGATTGAGCAGATTCAGTTCCTGGTTCTGCAGAGTCTGAGCCATTTATGGGATCGGAAACTTTTAATGCTTCGATCCTGGCACAGATGCAAATATATTTCATAATTGTGGAAAGAAACCTAGAAATTCATTCTGATAGAGTCTGATGCAAGAGACGGGCAGGATCGGTTAGAATAAATTTACCAAGCGCTACAGTGGGTCTTGCAGTTGATCTACAACGACATTACGACATTATCGAATATGTGAAGATATTTTTGTTTCGTATGTCTGTTATGGATGAACTTACTGAAAGCTAGGACTTCGTTCATAGCATAAGCAGGCAATTTGAATTTGATGACTGACACTGCGGCTATTGGTGACTGACTTGTCAGCTCAGAATAATCATATGACAGCGAACCTTCCCCGGCAATAACCTTTGACATGCTTTCAGAAGGTCACTTATTTGAATACGTTTTTTCTTATAAAGCAATTTTAAAATATTTCATAACCTCTTACGTTATTACGGCGGAAGTAGAAAGACCACGTTATTTTCAAAATGACCGCAGCAGAAAGCATTATTATTGTCAGTTCACAGAAATGACGATGTGAAAGCTGGACATTGGACAACAATATCAGAAGGAGAACAGATAATAGAGTATACATCATGTGTTGATTGCTTCTTCATAATGCCAGCTATCTGGTAGACCAAGGGCATTACATCCTCAAAAGGCACTCCTACAAGACGATTTCATAGCAACCCTGGTCCATTTTTGTATTATCCGCCAGACACAACAATGTCC